CCTCAAGAATTACACAAGGCAAGCCTACCTCACCGTAGCAGGGATTAATTTTCATGTATACATCACACAATTCAGTCCAACAAATACCAGCTGACTGCCCAGGGACCAATCTCAGTCAGCTGCCAGATTTTGTTTCATCTTTGTGTTTTCATTGTTTTCTGTTTTTAATTAAGTACTTTAGACATTTGAGAGATTTCACACAATGAAAATTTATGTTTCTGGCATCTCCTGAAAGTGAAACAGAACAATTACAAACAACAACAACAACAACAAAAACGTGAGGATTGGGGCCCTCATTCCAACAAGGATACATGCAGCTGGGCCTTAGGTAGGTCCCAGTCCAGTTTAGACTCCGAATACCCTCTCCAGTTGGCCACACCTCCAGCTGGCCTGCTTCACTCTAATAAAATGCACAGTTGTTCCCTGGAAGCGTTTGCACTTGTGACTGGGGCTACACCCTGGAAACACTGCCCCTTTGACTTGCTTTGATCCCATTTGCTTTTTAATTTACTTGTTTTATCTTTACCTCACAAATACTTACTTCAGGTGGGCTCTCTGCCAGGCATTCTTCTAGGCACAGATATTGATGATGTAATAATGAATGAAAGAAGCAAACTAAAATTCTTATCCTCATGGAGCTTTCATTTTAGTGTGGGGGATAGACAGTAGCCAAAATGAATAAGCAATTATAATGTGTATTCATAGTGACTAGTGTTAAATAGAAAAATATAAAGCAAGGAATTGGGATAGAAAATTTCCGGAGGGAGGCTGAAACTAGATAGATAAGGTGTCCAGGGAAGGCCTTACTGAGAACTTGGCTTTTGAGTCTCACCTGAAGGCAGTGGGAGAACTGACCCTGTAGCTGTCTGGGGAAGGAGCATTCCAGATGGAGGGACAGCAGGTGCTGAGGCCCCAAGACAGGTTTAGGCTGGCATGTTTGAGGAGCAAGGAGGATGCTATCATGTCTGGAGCTGAGTGAGCAAGGCAGAGAAAAGCAGGAGCTGTTTTCAGAGAGGTAATGGGGATGAGAGAGAGAGGCAGACAGCTTATAGCCCTGTAGGTTTCAAAATGCAATTTGGCTTTTACATGGAATGTGATGGAGACCCATCCATGTATTGATAGTGGAGGGGAGACAAGATTTGTCTTAGTTTTACAGGATCACTCTGACAACTTGGAGAATAGTTTTTATTAGTATATGATGAATAAAGGGAGAATAATTAGTAGGATATTCCAATTATTTTGGTAACCGATAATGGTGGGTTTCAGTATCCTGGTGGTAGTAGACATGGTGAAAATTAGTTGGATCTGGCTGTTTTCAGGTATACCCTGCATGTTTTCCTATTTGATAATACTGTGTAGAAGATAAATATCAATCAAGGACAGCACGACATTTTCCAGTCTTCTTTTGAAGATTTTCTTAAGAGAAACAAATTCCCAGTGAAAACCATAGATGACAGAATTGGGCTCTATACTCAATGCCTAGATTGGGTATACAATACTGATGAAGTGATCTCTAAGAATGAGAAACCGACCCTGAGTCTCATTGATAAATTATTGTTATTAGCTTTGCCCCTCTGGATAACTCCCCTAGCTATTATGTAGGACTTTGTTGCCTGATACTGAGAATTGAGTCAGCCAAAAACATTGGAAGTTTATTGTTTTGAGACACAAGCAGCCATTATGCCACACAGAATCGAAAGTAAATGCTAAGCCTTGCTAATGGTACGGTGCAGCTCTGTCTCTACTTTCTCAGGCACAGCTGCCATAAGGAGAAAAATCATTAGAAACGGGGCAAGTGATCTCTGTCCTTAATGGAGATCAAGTTCCATATGCATCCATCTTAGTAGGTTAGAGAATTTTCATGAAGGAAAGAATCAAGCTTTTATGGCTCTGTTAGATATGGATGCCCAAGTAAACTCTTCTACTGGACTCCTGGAAGGAGAAAGCATCCCAAATTAGATAACAGGGTTTGGCCAGGTTTACAGCAGGAGAAAGAAAGAAGCCAGTATGATCTTGTGAACAAAACTTTTTAGGCTAATTCAGCATACTGATGCTGCTACCTTCACATCTGAATATCACTGGGAACTGATGCTTGTATTTCCCTGTTTCATAAGTGCCAGATGAAATTCAGCTATACATAGATAAGTACTAGTGGGACACATAAATTTATCTGTCACCAGCTTTCCTGTCTCTCCGACATTCTGTGCTTTCTGACCCAACACAAAGCATAGAATTCTAGGAAGAAAAAAGAAAATCTGTGCCCTGAATAAATACTAGTACCTATAGGAGGCAGTAGTAAGAGATGCAGGATCTTTACAGAACAGCCTTGTATGCCCAATGCAAAATCTAACAGGAGTTGAAGACTGATAGTGGAATATTTTCAAATAAATTCAGTTGTTTCTCCAATGGCCCCAGCTGTTGCAGACATCTTGACTCTATACGAATCTAAGACACAGACTAATAGAACATGGTGCACTGTTTTAAACATTGACAACACTTTCCCATACTAGCATCTGAGAATTAAGATCTGTTCACATTCATGTGACAAGGCCTCTAATACACGTTTGTTGTACTCTGCCAGTGTTACCTAAACTCCAGTGCCACTTGCCAAAATTGAATAGGTTAGAATTTGGGGCAAGTTCTTCTTCA